CCGAATGGCTTACGATCGTGTAAGGAAGGGAACGACGCTCCTCGCAAGATATTCGTCGGTTTTCGGAGTAAATTCGCTAGCCCGACTAAACCAAGGAACGCCTGCCATGAAGTGTAGCGCGCGGACATCTAGCGCGCGCGCACGTAAACAACCACTACAAGGAACGCCTGCTATATCTTAGAATACGTGCGGTAAAATCGAAGATAAACCAAGACAATCAAAATTTTAACGTGYTCCCTTGGTTAAACGACGTAATGAAAGACCAGGAGGACATAGAAGAACAAACAGAACTGGTGTTTACGAAAGAAAAGGTACAGAAGGCGGACAAAAAGATAAAAAACTGGAAAGCACCTGGAAAAGATGAAATATGGATATTGGTTGAAACATCTACAATGCCTACATGAACGAATAACGGTGCAGCTACAGCAAGTGTTTGAAACAGAGAACAGGATCCCAGCATGGATGACAGAAGGAAGAACAACACTGATCATGAAAGATGAGAAGAAGGGACCTACTTCAAGTAACTATAGACCTATTACTTTGTCTACCAACATTATGGAAGCTGATGGCGTCCATCATATCAGAAAGCCTCTATAACCATCTAATAGAGGAACAAGAATTGATACCATTTGAACAGAAAGGCTGTTAGTAGTCGTGGATCGAGAGGAACAAAAGACCAACTCCTCATCGACAAGGCAGTTCTGCGAAGTGCAAAGAGAAAGCACAAGAACTTGGAAATGGTGTCGTGGTAGACTACACAAAGGCATATGACTCTGTACCTCATAGCTGGATAATCGCTTCCCTTGAAAACATCAAGGCTCAGCCATCGATCGTAGGATTCATGAAGAGGGCAATGTCGCAGTGGAGGACTGAACTAAGGTTAGACGGAGAATCATGTGGTCATTCTGARATAAAGCGTGGAATATTCCAGGGAGACTCGATGTCACCGTTACTATTCATCATGTCTTATACCATTGACGTCCATACTGAACAACACAAGCTGAACAATGGTAATGTGCTGAATCATTTGTTGTACATCGATATATGAAGCTCTATGGGAAGAACGAGAAAGAAATCGAGTCACTACTACACTCTGTACGAATATTTAGTGCAGACATTGGGATGACATTCGGGGTAGAGAAGTGCGCCAGAGTAGGAGTAAGAAGAGGAAAGGTGGTAAAGAGGAATGGGATAAAGCTACTCTATGGTCAGCAGATAAAGAACTTGGACGGTAATGATCACTATAGGTATTTAGGAGTGTTAGAGAAGGAAGATATCAACCATCAGAAAGTTAAGAATAGCGTCCAACTAGAATACAAAAGGAGATTAGACTGATTTTTAAGTCAAAGTTATTTAGGAAGAAACAATATTTCCGCCATTAACTGAACGGCTATGCAGATTAAGTAATATAAGATACACAGCTGGAATAGTAAATTGGACAAACGAAGAACTCCACTCTCTAGACAGAAAGACGCGAACTTATACACCGTGAGAAAGATGAAAAAACCGACTGACGTTTCGGACGCTAGTCCAAGGGCGGATCCAGCCAAAATGTTAGGGGGGGGCTAATTGAGTTTCTTCCGTCAACACAACGGAAAACAATAAAAAAAGCATCTAATTCGTCAGTTTAGTTTAGTTTAGTTTTGTTTTCCTGCTGAAGGGGGGCTTCAGCCCCCTTTTGCCCCCCTTGGATCCGCCCTTGTAGTCCTTCGTCGGAGTAAAAGAGTTTTTTCATCTTTTCACGGTGTATATTTTACCATTTTATCATTACTGTTTCATTAGAAACACCGACGCAGCTCACACTAGTTTTTTAGCTAGTTATCTCTTCTTATCACTAACTATTGATCACATTTTGATCCTTTTATCACGGTATCGAAAATTTAGGATTTTTAGTGACATTATCAAAACCTGCATCTAAAAATATGATATTGAGCGGAGTTTCATTGCGATAAAGCGAAAATGAGCTGAACAGCTAAACGCAACGCAAAAAAACGAGACGCAACGTAATGTCATGCCATGCCATACAACAAGAAGAAACAAGAAAACTGGATTTTTGTGTGTACTGCGTATTAATAAGCAGTAGAGACTATGCCATCAAGTTTACCCGGATATACTTCATATCATATTTAACTAACGAAAAATGACATACTACATAACGGACATAAAGTTCATCCCGGTGTAAGGGATGTAAAACTTCGGATTACTTTCGGATCCCACGTGCATAGCGATTTGCCTGAAATATTAAATAAAACTATTATTTTGCACAATTCAGGGTAGTCTTTTCAGACAAAACGTGTAGGGGCTTAGAGTTCCATACCAAACAAGTACAGTTTTTTTGATACAAACTGCAACTTGAGGATGCTCAGAAGAGATGAGACTGTCCATGTCCATCAGTAGTTATCAAGCAGTTGAAACATGTAAAATGTATCTACTCATAATTGTAGTTCTCACTACGTTTGGCTTTTCAGGTTACTTGCTTTATTGAAATAAGCATAAGTGGAGAAAAAACAAAAAAAACAAAAAAAAAAAAAACAAAAAAAAGTATAAGTGTGGACGCATGCCCAACAAATTGCATTATTGTGGAATGACGTGCGTTTAGAAACATTGCTTTTTCCATTGTTCTCCCTACTTCTTTTCCATATTTTCTCTTTACGCCAAACGGCGGTCAATTAGAATTTTATACGCCACTATATAATTGTTTAACTTTGAGTTGGCGTTTTTAATCTTGTCACATTGACATCGTATAATTGCATGACCAATTATTTAGTCCACAGGCTATTCCGTATTTACATTTTCACGATTCACAAGAAACAATTAAATTTGTTATTTGACATACTGGCGGTGCCAAAAATTAGACAAATTGCTCGAAAAGAGACGACTGGACGCTCAAATCTTTTTTGATTGCTACTATATCCGATCCTTATGATTAAAATTTTCGCGAATTCCCATGAATAACAAAAAAAAAAAAAAGGTTTCAAGGTCCATTTTGAAGGGAAAAATTTAACACATAAGTAAAAGGAGATAAGAAAAGAAAGAAGGAAAGAAAGAATGGATGGATGGATGGATGGATGGATGGATGGATGGATGGATGGATGGATGGATGGATGGATGGATGGATGGATGGATGGATGGATGGATGGATAAAAAAATATAACCATCTTGACCGAAAACATATCAATGTCGGAATGACCTATTCGTATCATCCATATCAATCCATATCAATCCGGAACGACTATATCGTTTTTATAAATCTCCAGGTATAAATTGAATAGCTCATTGCAAGTGGTCTATAAATGCCCTGTTAGCTGGCCGTGCCGGCACCAAAGTACTTGGCAGCCAATATATCACCACTGCTCGCTTCAGGCTCGATTTTGTTGCTTGTAAGTCAATGGGAGCAGCATCTTTGGTTGTTCCTGGGGTACAAACGAGTAAGGGGTGTTTTGTAGCAAGTGAAAACTTTCTAACGGTTCGTTTTATCACCATCAGCTTCTTATATAGGCAGCAAGAGCAAAACCTTTTTTCTTTCCTTTTATCTACACTTGCTAATTGTTAGGCTGAATTTTGAGACAATGAGTTTTCTATCCAAGAAAATCCAGTGGATGGGCCTTTGGTGGTTGGCTGCTGCCATTACGACTGCCCAAGGTAAGCAAATATTGCAATGACGCATATACAGCTTTTTTCAAAAAAAAAAAAAAACTTTGGTGAATGTCTGGCTGCTTGCTGCATATCAAGCCCAAATTTTACTTCGGGCGATGTGAATGCCATCACCGAAAGGTCACAACGATATGAAATTTTCCTAAAGTTCTGTATGTTTTCCCCTCTATATTTTCTTCTGTGCTGACCCTTTTAATTCGTGGATGAGAATGTGTCACTAACTTACTCACTCGCTCGCTCAATACTACGTGTAGCCCATGCTGTCTTTCGGTGATTATTTTACTTAGAGATTGCAATATGGATTGTTTTTGAAAATACTAAAATAATTCTACTAGCTTTTCAAGGGATCTTGACCTGTTTTTATCTTGTTCTGTACTAAATTCCAGCCAATTTGGAGTTTCTTGAGCCGTTGAATCACTAAATGAGTCAAAACTTATACCATCTCCCGCGATCCGATATCATATCTTACATTCACCTTTAAAGACTCGTATAAGTCGAATGATTTCTGGAGAAAGAAAAATACACTCTTTATTGAAATTTAAAACAAAAGCCCGACTTTGAGCTTTAAAGAATTTTATTCGCCATAGAGAAAGTATAAGCGAATCTTCTTCCATTCATTGACTCCGAGTTCACTCCATCAAAGTCGAAGTCGTCTTTTGTGCAATCAATTATCACAGAAATCAATTCAAAAATCAACAACAACAACAACAACACCAACAACAACAACAACAACAGCAACAACAACAACGACAACAACAAAGCAAACCAAAGTAGAATTTTGAAGAAGAAATATAACATCGATAGCTCATCTTACCAGCAAAATATATCGTCATGCATTCACTCTTTTTATCAAATGGTGTCATTAACTACCAGAATCCCTTGCACACTTTTTTTTGTTCAGTTGCTGCATGTGGGGACAGACACTAGAGAAAAAATGTTTGCGCATGCCTGCCTTTCAGCAAGTTTTCTACGAATTTAGAAGAGTTTTTAGCGATMAAAAAAAATCAATATCTCCTAGTATACAAAAAGTTTCGATCGCGAGTATACTTTTGTGAGACCAAGATATTGTAACAATAAAGATACGAAAGGAATTAGGATTAAGTTTTTTTTTTTTGTGGAATCCATTTGTCAGGCATGTTTGAAAGTCAAATCTACATATTTTTACAGTTGCATGAAGAAGTTTCGACTCATTTGCATGGCTTGTCYTGGAAGGTTACTCCAAGCAGCTTTAACCAATCAAAGCGTTTAATCCGGATTCCTTGAATTAATGGTACCGGGAGGCGGTTTAGAATAGTTTCCACTGAGAATCATCTCCCATTTACCTAAGTACCTAAGTACATTCCATTATTGTCAGCATTCCGTATCTCAGCATATTCACCACAGCATATTCAAGCAGGGTATTATCAGAAGGGTGCAAAGCCTGAATATCATTCACAATCACCGAGAAAATGGTGGGACCCAGGACTGTTCCATGTGGCGCCACTATTCTCATAAGGAAATACAAATTTGAAGAAAGAGAATTAGAGAAGCATTTTTGTCCAATTGTAAATTTGAGTATTTCAAATTTGCATATTTGCTTTTTAAGTCCTTTTAATAAACATTATTATTCTATATGTCATTTGGAGAACTATTTTGTCAGTGGCGTTTCTGTATTCCCAGTGAGTGTTTTTTATTTTGTTCACAATATTCCAGGTGGTTGTCCGGTCCCTTGCAGATGTTTTTTTTATTTTCCCACGGCGTACTTTACAGATTGCGAGGATAAGGGACTGACTGTGGCTCCGGCTAAAGATGCTTTTGATAACGCAACCAAAATCTTGTGAGTAATTAGCCATTCCAAATGTGGGCAAAAACTGGGTGGAGTTGGCATTACATTGCATTGTAAAACTGCTTAATGGGACATATTTTCAAGATGGCGTCTATTTGATCCCCTAAAACAGTCTCACATTAACCTAGTTTTTTTCTCAACATCGGAAAAGCAAATATTTGCTTAAAATATTCATGAGAGTGACGCGAGCGCACGAAACACGAACGGCTGGAAGTCTTATGCTACCGGTACGTTATTCCAGAAAATTCAATGTTTTGGTGTGAAAAGAAACACCAAAGTGACAAATGCTTGTATTGGGCTCCCTGAGTTCCTCTCTATGTATCGTTTTTTCTTCTTTTTTTTCTTTTTACTGTAAAGAATTTGAAATCACGGATTCAGAGGATTTAGCTTACAGTCCTCCTAGGCCTTAATTTAGTTGTATTATACCATGTTCTATAGTTCCTTTTGTTGCTTGAGGTGATTTAGTTCAGTCTTCCCTTCCATTTCAGGGGCTTAAACAGAAACCAGCTTGTATCGTTACCCAACGGGCTTTTCGACGACGTCAAAGAACTAATAGCATTGTGAGTTATAAATGAATGAATGTTTTATGTTAGAAAAGAGCGAGATAATTTGTYTTAATTCCGGAGTTGCAGAACGCGTTACACCAAGGGGTTTTAGGGGAAGCTTTAATCCTTATTTCTCAATTGACACGGTTTTAATTATTATTCACAAGAAGGCTTTATTTTTGTTATAACCCTCATTATAAATGCAAGGTCAATATATAGTTATTAACCCGGTTAATAACTACATATAGATTTCGCATTTATAATGAGTAACATTTGATAGAAAACCTTCTCAATTGATAAATAAAATAATTAATCACCTCGAACGTCGGCAATAAGCCTATACATCCCTCGGGTCTGCGGCCCGCGGGATGTATATGGCTTATTGCCTCCGTTCTCGGTAATTAACTCTTACTTACATATGGCGTCATTTGCTAATAGTGAAAAATGAAAGAAAAAGCTACTAAAAAAACCTTAATTGTGGTGTTAATTTTCAAATTTCTCTCGTTTCCTCATGCATAAATCATGGTCAACTGATCGATGAAGCGTCCCTCAAAACAGCCATATATTACAATGTATTTCAAAAACAATTAGAAAAGTCTAATGAAGGTTAGGACATGTTTGACAAGACCAGACAAGAGCAGGGGACGCAGCAGAATGAAACACCAATAAACTTTTACAAGCATTTATTATATTTCAACTATACAATTTTCTTAGTTTTCTAGACAAGCTAATAACAATAATAATATCCATTCGCTATTTTAGGAACTTGGAGGATAATAAACTGGTGTCATTGCCGCCTAAAATGTTTCATTACAATACGAATTTACGTTATTTGTAAGTACAAAGAAATAAATGCTTCAAGTCAAACTTATGTTTTCAGATTAAAATAGATATTTTCATTTTTTCATTGTTTTTTCTTACCATTATTAACCAGCTCCCAAGATAATGCAGTTTTGTCCTGAAAAAGTACACGGAAATCTCCAAATTTTTGAGTGGAAATGAAAGACATCCATTGTAATTTTCACTAAACCTGATATTGTGTTGAATTATCTGTAGTTACCTTTTATTTTTCAAGTAAAACCAACCAAAATAGCGTAAAAATGTCGATCATAGAGAATTTGGGTGCATGGTGGGTCGTGTACAGCTTAAAAAACTTCCTGAACGGGAGAGTCCTCCAGCGGGAGAGTCCTCCACCGAATCCTACGCAAGTAGTAACTTTGGCATAAGATGGCTAAAAATTTCGACAAGCGAAAAATTTTCTGCACGAAAATTTTGGTCATAGAAATCTTGAAGGAAGAGYCAAAAGAGTTTTAAAAAAATGAATCCCCCATTGTATAAGGGATCATTTTGATCAACTTTATTTTGGGGAGTTAAAAGACGGTGAAATCGTGGTTGAAAGTGGGTTGTGTTCGGAAAGATGGCGACTGCACTTTCCTCCCAACGACATTAGATACCATAAAARAATTCATTTCAAGCTTATACATTGTCGTTTTCATGGGATCCCTTTGGTTTTAGACGGTTTGGGCTTCCATTTTCAAAGACCAGGTTCGGCTATGCTAGATTCATGATGGTTGACAATTTCCTCGCTGTAATATATGCAGGTTTCGATTCAATTTTTCGACATTTTACCGCTTTAAATGGCAAAAAAATCACCAAAAGAAATCGGGGTTTACTTCCAAATAAACTTACCAAGTATGGATATAGAAATGATGGCCGCAAAAACGACGACTTTATACGGGAGAAAACTTTACACGCTAAAGGGAAAAAAAGGCGCGCGCGAAAAAAATGTGATTTTGTATATGTGAAGTTTAAATACTGTTTTGGTAGCGAATAAAGTGGGTTTAATCGGAAGTTTATTCGTCTCTCCTACAGCGTCTATATTCAAAGATATGAAACAACTGCAATTTCCTTGTTTAGAAGAATTGAATAAAAAGTTTGTAGTTTGGACTTGGCTTAACCATAACGTTTAATGACCAGGAATTAAGCGAAACTCGAGTTCGAAACTGGAATCAGTCAACTCAGTATCAATCGGTCTCAATACTAAATTTACGATATCATCCTCAACCTTATCTGTTTAATATTTAAAATAAATGTTTACTATTTGTTTAAAATTTGCATTGACCTTTCAGGAATTTGAGAAACAATCAGATGAAGACTCTTCCAGTAGGAATATTTGACAACAACAAGAAACTAGAATATTTGTAAGTCTTATTCCGGGTGGATAGGGTTAGGAACTATTCGTTGACCTACTCGAACAGTATTCTCTCACGAACAAGGGAAGATCAGTAAGGAGAACATGGGTTTCGAGAACCAGGCTTACGATAAAGCGATATCATCAAATTCATTCAACATGACTTGTTATTCACTAGAACTTGACAATATAGATATTCTTATAACCTATATTTAAAAAATGGCGATTCATTAAAAAATATTGATGAATTATATAAAAGGTAAAGCAATTCTGAGAGAGGTCTTGATCGAATATTAGCCTGCATTTACGTTTTAAATGAAGCATTTCGATTTTAAAGCGAGTAATAAAATTCCCGTGCGATTGTGCATGTCCATGAAACTCGTTGCGACAGCCTAATTACGTTTGCCAAAATCAGGACCGGAATTGGAATTGAATTTCCAGATTGAATTATTCGAGGACAGATCAGCATGGCATAAACGCTCTGCCTTTTTTGCAACAATTTATTTCCACTTTTCCTTAAGATTTTTAGAGACTTAGATACTAGTAAACCTTCCTAACCAGGTACCCGGTCTACCCTGCAACCAGGGTCTTGTTTCTACTCAAAAATACCCCGTTCACGATAAGATACGGCCCGTAGTTCTTTCTTTGCCATAAATTATTTCTACAAGTGTAGCGACGGCCGTTTTCTTGGAGGCCATTTCGCCATTTCACATGTCAATGCGGCATCATGGAAGATTCCAGAAATTTCTACAAAGGGCATATTGATGACCTCATACTTTTTTATAATTATACTCAGAGAGCCACCCATCATACAGCCCATCAGTTTCACAGCGAGCAAATCACCAAATATTTGCCACGGCATGCAGAACAAGTAGTACATAAAAATTAATAGAGATGATCACATGTTAAGGGTTTGATAACGTTTTTATTCACGAGTTTTTCATATCATATCGCGAACGAACGAGTCCTCGAGCAAGTCTGCGAGTAAGTGAGCGATATGATAAGGAAAACGAGTGAATAAAAACGATATCAGGCTCTTGACATGTGACTATTTGTTTATTGTACATTTAGGGTCGATTTTGATTGGTCAAAACTAAAATATGTGGCGAGATCTTATTGGACAGTTTTGCCGTGAAGTCATATTAGTCACTTCACTGATATGGCTTTTATTTGCGGCTTTATTTCACGGATGTCGACTCTAAATGAGCAATAAAAACATATATATTGTAATTTGACGTGGCTTACAACTTAGTATGCTCTTTCAATAGAGAATTGAGTTCTAATCAGCTGAAGGCTTTGCCTGTTGCAATCTTTGCGAACAACGCAAACCTTACTGAAATGTAAGTTTTTAGAAGGTACAAAGCTTTGGGTGTGATTATGAATTAATGCTGATGAGTAAAGCATTTGAATGTAACAAGCGTCATGGAGCCAAAACTAGATTCCACTGGAAACACGTCGACAAATTTAAGGGCAATACACCAGTTTCGTTTCGTATTCGATAAATTTATATCACTAGCTGTTTTTAAAGAAACATAAGTCCCGTCTACACGAGCAATTTTTGCTAACGTGGCAACTTTTATTTGCTCCTGTAGACGATCGACAAATATTTGTTGTCAATTTGCGTCAGTAACAATTTCGGACAGCGGAGATGCCAACAAAGAAAAGAACTAGATTACGTAGATGACGTCGAAATAATTGCCGCATTTATGTGTCGTCTCGTCCACACGGGCAAGTTTCGGTGTGTGGCAATTTTTATTTGCCACATAAAAACTGACATGCCAGCTTTCCAGCAAACGCAGTTGTCATATAAAAATTGCTCGTGTAGACGGGGCTATACTCAGTTTGCGCAAGATTTACCTTGTTTATAAGTCAGCTATTCACAGTTACCATTAAATATCCGTGGAATTTCAAAACATTGGTATTGTTCAACTAGTACATTGTTTACATTACAGTCGACTTTTGCAAATGATTTGTTCTCTTACGAGACTATACCTGTGCAGATGAGTCTTTAGTCATAAAACACAGCGGTATTTACTAACCAAAAGAAGGAACTATTTAGAACTTGGTGAAGGACTTTATTTTGACTTCAGAATAATATATAACAATAGAAAATTTATGATGTAATTTGACATGGCTTCCTACAATTAATATTTTTCAATAGAAAGTTGCATTCTAATCAGCTGACGACTTTGCCCGATACAGTCTTTGCTAACAACAAAAATCTTGTAAAATTGTGAGTTAAAAAATTYGATTCCTTATTAGGTCTTGCAAGTGCGAATAACAAAGTTGCTGCTAATAAGTAAAGCCAGATGGCGTAGGGAAAGCCAAACCGAGGATGAGCCGGGAAAAAAACTGGGTCGAGTTGGTATCGAAATGCATGATGGGTATGGTTTAAGGGACATATTTTGAAGATGGTGTCCATTTTGGTCTCCTTAAACAGACCCACAACGAACTGTATGCCAACTCGACCCAATTTCCCCCTCAACTCGGAGTGGCTAATGTAGGGGCAAGTGGGTGCGTTTTAGCGACAAAGCCCCGWGTCCACAAAGAAACTCGTCAGCATAAGTAAACAAAAGGACAATTTAGTCGTAAAGAAATCTTTTTCTCATCCTATATAGTAATATACAGTTTCTCAAACGTTTTGCCTTCTGCTGAAAATAATAATCTGTAATTAAAATAAAAATCTACAACGTTACGTGGATAGTTACTATATTTATATGTTTTTTCAATAGGGAATTGAGTTTGAATCAGCTGACGACTTTGCCTGTTGCAATCTTTGCTAACAACGTAAACCTTAATGAACTGTAAGTTTTAGCAGATAAAAAACTTTGTTTTTTTGTAAAGTATTAATGATGATGATCATTTCACCTTGGCTTACCACGTGGTGCCTCATGGCTCGAAAATTAGATTCCTTAGGGAACCCAGCAACAGATGTTTTAGTTGCTAGTTTTGTTATTATATTTCTAGTCAACATGGAACAACAAAAACAACAACGACAACAACAACAAAGATCAAGCATTTAGACTTAATAAATAAAAATAGAAAACCTGTGATGTAATTTTACACGGCTTACTAATATACATATTTTGTCAATATAGAAACTTAAATTCTAATCAGCTGACGACTTTGCCCGCGGCAGTCTTTGTTAACAACAAAAATCTTACAAAATTGTAAGTTAAAAAAATTACGATTCAATATTAGTTCTTGCAAGTGCGAACATGAAAATTGCTGTCAATAAGCAAGATGGTGTAGGGAAWATCCCAAATTTTAGCCATACCTAGGCAGCTGAACCAAAAAAGATAATCAAATTGCCTTTGGCAAACTCCTGGATACTACCCTATGCCCTTTCTGTGCATTTGGTTGGCTTAACTTCGTAATAGGCGACTTGCACTAAGAGGTCACGTGATCAAATCAGCCATTGTTGCTGGCATTCTACAGGATTAGCTATGCGTGAATGTAAAAAAAGATGGCGGATTCGGGTAGCTTTTTGGTAATAAAAGGTAAGTTAGCGCACTAAATAACGATAAAAATACCCTTTTCTTCTAAGAAATATATTCTTAGTAGATATCTAAAGTAGATTTTTGCTATTAACTCGCCAGAGAGAGGAAAAATATGGTATTTTTTGCGCTACAATGTGAAGACCTGTGAAGTGTTTAGTCTTGTTTCGCCGGCTACATGACCTAAAAACATACCATATTTTTCCTCTTCCTGGCAAATGAATAGCAAAAATCTACTTAAGGTATATTTCTTGCAAGAAAAATGCATTTTTCAAGAATGAATTTGGAAAATACTTGATATTTTTCGACAAGAAGTCGTTGTTTTGAGGTCATGAAGTCGGCAAAACAATAAGACTAAACACTTCGTAGGTCTTCCCATTGCAGCGCAAAAACTACCATATTTTTTCTCTTCTTGGCGAGTTAATAGCAAAAATCTACTTTAGATATCTACTAAGAATATATTTCTTGCAAGAAAAGGGGATTCTTATCGTTATTTAGCGCGCTAACTTATCTTTTATCACCAAAAAAACTACCCGAATCCGCCATCTTCTTTCACATTCTCTCATAGCTAAAATCCTGTAGAATGCCAGCCACAATGGCCGAGTTGGTCTMGTGACCTCTTAGTGCAAGTCGCCTTTTACACAGATCAAAGTAATTCACTACATTTAACTGCTCAATTTAACTGTTAAGATGGGTAATCGACTTTATATTTTGCTTCCAATTTGTACTTTTTCAGTTCTTTGTTATTTTATTGTTTAGTTTTGAAGGTAATCCTGTAATAAATGGATGTTTCAGAACAAAATAAATAGATTAGTAGATTAAATAGATCTAGCCGTTCTATGGCATTCGCATTAATTGGGGACACTTTTCACTCACACACATCACCACTACAGTCAATATTCTATGCACGCAATGCACAACTCACCTGTTGATTTTTAAGGAGGGAGGGAACCGTAGAAAATCCTCGTAGCATAGGAGAGAACAACACATCAAACAAACTCAATTCATATGTGGCGACCGCTGAGCTCGAAACAGCGACCCGACCCGTTGTACTCACAGCGGTGAAAGATGACGCGTTAGCTACGTACGCAACCCAAACTTTGATCGCTTATTTTGCTTTTGTGACTTTCTAACCTTCGCTATGAAAAATAAATCCCTTCAAAAGAACCTATTTTCCCCTCAACTAGGAATGGTTAATGGTGGGGGCAAGTGCCAGCGTTTTAACGCCAAAGCCTTGAGTCTACAAGAAACCATCAACATAAATAAGCAAAAGGACAATTTGTTCGTAAAGAAATATTTTCTTATCCCAAATAAAAGCATATAAAGTTTCTGAAACGTTTTGCTTCTCTTTACAATCATAATATAATAAAAACTATAATGTGACGTGGCTAATTGCTATTCTATATTTATATACGTTCTTTCAATAGAG